AAGAGCTCAGCCACAAAACAGCTGGCTCTGTGGGGGCTCTTTGACCGTCTGTATGGGGATGGGTCGCCCAGTGCTGGGCTACAGGGACTGTTCATACAGGGATTCCTCATCTGGCTCTGAGACGCGACTGCCTCTGGGGTAGCGCGTGGGGGCTGTTAATATAGGAACCCCTTGCCCAAAACAGCAGCCCCTCTGGGGTGGCTCCCAGCAGGGCAGGGCCCTATACCCTATTCCCCCCGCTCCCAGCCAGCCAGTCCCCTATCTGAGCCAGATGGGAGCTAGCACCCCCTCAGAGGGGAAAGTCCCAGGGCTCAGTCCCCAGCCCTGCCAAATCCAGGCAGTGACGGTGGATCATTTCCCACTTTCCCGGCATCCCGCCCTGGCCAGATGTCTTTAAGCTGCTTCCAGAGCCCAGCTGTGCGGGGCAGTGGGGGTGAGCTGGAAGGGTGCCTGATCCCGGCTTCGTCTCGCCGCTAATCCGTCAGCACCGGCCCAGCCTGGGCGCTGAGTAACTGGGGTGAATAAGGCCCAGCTCATCTGCAGCCGGCAAGAGGCACAGCCCAGACCAGGGAGGCCAGGGCTTGGGAGGGGATACCGGGGAATTACTGCACCACACACTTCAGTCAACCTCCGTGAGGGGCCAAGAGACCGGCTGGCCCGTGGTGCCCCAGTGTGTCCCGGCTCTCTGCTCCCCACCGGGGGCCTGGGTGGCTGGCAGGAGTCTGGAAAGGATGAAGGGCCCAGGTAGCAGTCCCGATCTCCCTGGAGCCCTACACCCACCCCAGGGGAAAAGACCAAGGTATGGGGTTCATAGCAGGAGCCCACCAGCCTTTCTGGTCAATTTCAGGGCTGCAGTCCCTCTCCACCCCCAGTTGTGAAATTGGCGAGAACACTCACAGGCTTCCACGGAAAGCCATAAAAGATCATAAGCAGTCATTTATCCCAGCATTGAAAACTCTCATCTGCCGCTGCCGCCGCCTCCAAGTTCTCTCTGGGTATGTCTACACCGCAAAGTTATTTCGAAATAACTTTCCTAGAGTCTACACAGCCATTCTGTTATTTTGAAATTAATTAGAAATAGCGGAGGGCTTATTTCAAAATTGGTAAACCTCATTCCATGAGGAATAGCGCCAATTTCGAAATTGCTATTTCAAAATAAGTGCTGTGTAGACACTTATTTCGAAATAGGGAGCCTCCAGCCCTTCCCAGAGTGCCCTGCTGGCCGCCCTGGCCACAAGATAACTTCTGACCTGATGCCCGGCCGGAACTGGTTCCAACCATCCTTAAACGTGATTCAACGTCCACTCAGTGTGGACGCGCTATTTTGAAATAGAAAAACGCTATTTCAAAATGCATTTTGTGTGTAGATGCGTTATTTTGAAATAAGCTATTTCGAATTAACTATTTTGAAATTGGATATTTTGAAATAACACTGTAGTGTAGACATACCCTCTGATACTGGAGAGATGCATTCACCTGCCTAGCACGGCCCCTTCCTCTCTCTGGAGCAGAGCTACTCAACACATGGCCTGTCAGCCGCATGCAGCCGACAGCCCGTCTGCAGCCTGAGGTGCAGTTTGAGCGTACGCTGGTATGCCGCGAGTGGGAGCCAAAGCAGAAAAAGAGTCAATCTAGTCGTCTTCTGTTGAGATGTGTTTTAGTAGTTCAATTCCTGGATTGCCATTGCTCATTAAAAGTGCTGTCATATGGGTGGAAATTGGGTAACTATGGCATTTTATTAATACCAGCAGAACTTACATCTCTAGATCCGCAGTCAATGCTCCTCCTAATATGCCATTGGCCATCTTGGCTACAAGGGCATCCTGTTGACTCATATCCAGCTTCTCATCCACTGGAATCCTCAGGCAGTCGGTCCCCAGCCTGTAACAATTCTTGGGATTCTTCCATCCCAAGGACAGAACTCTGCTCTTGTCCTTGTTGAACCTCATCAGATTTCTTTTGGCCCAATCCTCTAATCTGTCCAGGTCACTCTGGACCCTATCTCCACGCTCCAACATAGCTACTTCTCCCTCCAGCTTAGTGTCATCCGCAAACTTGCTGAGGTGCAATCCATCCCCTCAGCCAGGTCATTAATAAAGATGTTAAAGGTGACGCGTTGTCACCATCTCATCGGATGGAACCTTGACCAGCCTTGGACCATCGTGTGCCTCGGGTGGATTTTCCGCTCTAGGGTCCTTTCTGTCCCGTGCCCAGCGCTTCACCCTGCCCCCCCATGCCTTGCCCCCCCAAATCACACCCAGTCCCAGTGCCTGCACCCCCACACGCCCTACTGTCACAAGGATGCTCCGCTCTAGCTGAAGTGCTCAAAGCTCACAAGACACGTACTTGTTAGCCCAGGGCTACTCAACACACGGCCTGTATGTTTGTGGCCATGGTGCCATTTGGGTTTACACGGAGCTCTACACGCCGCCCACGGCTGGGATCCTTTGAACATGGCCCCCACTGGGAACACGCTCCACTGGTGAGGCATCAAGACGCAAGCGGACGGACTGGCTAGAACAGGGGGTCAGGGTTTCTAGCCCCCAGGGCATTGTGCCGGGAGCACCAGGGCATTGTGCCAGGAGCACCAAGGCATTTTGGGAAGTGCTTTGCACTCATGCCCACCAGTGAAAGAAGCTATTTGCATATATATTTGCATGTCTATGCAACCACACTTAAGTTGTGGCCCTCGGCCTGTGCTGCGAGTATCATTGTGGCCCCCGGGGCTTCCAAAGTGGAGTATCTCTAGACTCCACTCTCCGAATGTGATTCCTGCAGACATTGGGGGCAAGGGCGAATGACAGTGGTGAAAGGGTGACAGAAATGTGACTATTACATCACCCTCAATGAATCAGAGAAGATTTCGGTTGGAAGAGACCACAGGGGGTCATCTAGTCCCAATCCCCTGCCCAAAGCAGGACTAACCCCTACAAAACCATCCCAGCCAGGCTTGGTCTAGCCCCTTTCCTGGGGCCACCACCCCTCTAAGGCCCCACCCCTTC